AAAGAGTGCACCAGTTTCCTGATACAGGGAAGCTTGTGCATAGAGGTCGATGACTGATTTGATAATCGTGTCGCCGACTTAGGACTGTCGGTAATCGATGTTCGCGTTAAGAGAGGCGCAGAGCTATCAACCGATCATCACCTTGTTGTTGGCATGCAATGCAGTGAAAAATAGAGTATACCATGCTCAGATCTGGTGGTAGAAGCAACCTGAGAATCAAATGGGAAACATTATCTTCTGTGGACGCGAGAGCGAAATTTGCAAACAACATCGCACGACGGTTTGAATAGATCCCAGTGATGACAACTGATGTTGAAACCGAGTGGCAGCTCTTTAAGAGCGCCATACTCGAGGCTGCCGCCGAATGCTGCAGATTTAAACGGGTTGGCCTGCCGCCTGGAGGTCGAAAAAGATTTTCATTGTGGAGTCGAGAGGCACAACTGGTAGTTAAGGGAGAAGAAAGCAGCGTTCAAGAAATGGCTTGGAAAAAAAGAGCCTTCTACTGGCGTGCGATATGTCGAGGCACGCAAAGCGGCAGCCAAACAGTGGCAAAAGCCAAAGCTGATTCCTGGGAGAAGTTCGGTAAGGTGTTGGGGTCGAATTTCCACTCGGCAAGCAGTTTTCTGGCAGACCATCCGCCGGCTACGAGGTGAAAAGAAGGGTGGTCAGAATCTTGAAGGACAGATCTGGACACCCTCTGACCAACGATGGTGACATTCTTCGGTGGTGGAAGGAGTACTTTCAGGAACTGCAAACCCTGAGCAACCGCAGGACGACTTGCCACTGGAGTAGCAGGGAACAGATATTACTCTTTTTGTAGATTAAATCAAACACGCAGAGAAAGCTCGAAAAATGGCAAGGCTGTTGATGAAATGTTCAAAGGATGTGTAGTAAAAGGCATCATGGAGAAAAAAGCTGGCTCAAACGTGTCTGTCAGACTGCAAAGGCAACGGGGAAACCCCCAGCGGGTTGGAGAACGGTTGCCGTTGTACCTCTGTTAAAGAAAGAAAACAACGGTTAGTACTCCAATTATCGGGTCATTAGCTCATTGAGCCTCCCAGGTAAAGTCGACGCAAAGTGCTAGAAAAGGAGGTGCCGAGGAATGACTGACTCCGCGAAGAGCAATGTGGCTTATGGCTCGATCGAAGCACCTCTGACCAGATACTTGCCTTGCTCCAGGTTGTTGAGAAATTGTGTGAGTTCGCCAATCTGGTGTACATGTGCTTTGTTGACCTTGGAAACGCCTATGTCCGGATCCCGCGCAGCAGTCTGTGGTCACGCCTTCGAGCATGCGAGACAGATTCCCAACTACTGTGGGCCATCCAATCGCTGCCTTCTGATGGCAGGTGCTGCGTAAGAGTAAATGGCGTTAAGTCGAAGTCTTTCATCGTTGGCACTGGTCTCCCCAAGGCTGCGTCCTGTCCCTTCTCCTGTTTGTGTTATTGGATATAGTAATCAGGTACATCCAAGGCGATGAGCATGTTTGCTTGGCAGATGTCGACATGAGAAGGTTGTTGTTTGCAGAGGACCTTGATTTGTTACCATCTTCTGAAACGGAGGTACAGCGCTCTGTAGGAAGGTTTGCAACCGAGTACGACGTGGCCAGCGTTCGTGTGAATTTATCTAAAACGAAATGCATGGTGCCTACTCGTTCTTCTGCCCGTTGCTCTCTTCAGGTTAACAGAGAAGCGGTTTAAAAATGGAGAACATCAAGTACTTCATGATCTTGTCTAATGGTGATGGAAAATTAAGGAAGAGATTTCGCGTTTGGAATAGCCACTGGCGTTGTGCGAGAACTAACCTGAATCATTGTGATTAACTCAGTCTGAACGCTGTGCTCTTGACTGCCGATTCGATCTTCTTCCATATGCTTACCTACGGTCATGAGTTG